ATAACCATCATTAAATCATATACACTTTGTAACATAGCACACGTCATACTTTTGCACTTTAATAATCAGACAACAAATTTCCTCTTTTACCAACCTACTAGTATCCATGGGGATCCATAGGGGGTCCCCGCTACATGTGAACCATTAACATTAATATCCTGATTCCAGGGCCGTCCCCATATCCCGTTTGGTTTGGGCGCCAAAACACATAAGGTCTCCATACCCTGTCCGATATGAGAGACCACGTTCCCGGTAGGGTTCCCTACGGACTCGGTCCGTCCACCATCTTCAAGGATATCTAGTAGGGCTGTCCACATTATCCATTTATCAATTCACATAATCTTTTTTCCATTTTTCTTGGTCTCAATTATCCAATCATACACAAATAAATAAACCAATAATGAACACCAAACAAAACAAAACAACATCGGGTTCACCATAATTCAAACTATAATAAAAGAAACTATGATTCATGCATACGTAACCATAAAATAAATACATCAAATACCATACTGCATTTAAAGCTGAAAAATAGATCAAACAGCAACTGACTGACAAATACATCATATTCGGGCTCCATTAGCAACCTTAAGCAATTATACACATCTATTAATTTATGAAATACCATTTTATCATTTATTGAGCTTTAATACCGTAATAGGAAACAGGGTGAGAAATCATTACTTGTTTCGGGGTCTGAAATCGGCTCTACAGTGTGCCTACAGGCTGTCCCTAAATTTTTTGAATTTTCTCTGGGAAACTGAAACGCACTACCAGTACCTGCACGTGTCCCAAAAAACCCCAAATCAGACCCAGGGCCCCTTTTCAGCCAATATCAAAATTCTGGCACGGCAGCTCCGCCGTGCTCTAGCGACAGCACCGCCGCCCACGGCGGCGATCCGCCTCGGGTTGGCCGTTTTCGACCATTTTTCGGCCGAATTCGGCCAAACTTGCATTGATTCTTGCGATAAAACAACCCTAGGACCCTCGGTGGGCCAAAAAATCACGAAAAACCGAGACTTACCTGCGGTGGAGCTCTCGGGTGCGGCTGCTTCTCCGACGCGAGTTGCGGTTTGATATTTTACTCCAGTCAATCTGTAGAGAAAAGGACGGCGATCACAGTGGTGTAAAAATTGCATCGAACGAGAACCGAAAAGGGCCTCATCGGAGGCAAAAACTGAGGGAAGCTGCGGCGGCGCCATTGGACTTCGGCAGTGTTTTTCGGCCGATTGGCCAGTGGTTTGGCTCCGATTTAGCCATGGACGGATTCAGCATCGAAAAACGAGCCAAGGAGAGAAAATTTACCTTGTTTGGTAGTCGAAAAATCCTCCAATGCAGTGGCGGGTGGCGGCGGCCGGCTCCTCCGGCGACTGGTTCTTCTTCTCCGGCGAGAGTACTGACGGCTGGGGTTTGAGGTTGGGTGTGGGTGAGGTTATTTATAACCTTCTCCTTTTAATCTCAGCCGTCCATCACGATTTAATCTGGATCGTCCGATCGCGATTAAAATGAGAATAAATATGGGCCGTCCATCGCAATGCGATTTGGGCCGTCCGCATGCGTGAGATCTGGACCGTTCGATCGCGTGTACGCGGATCGCTCACGTGGCTCCGTCCCGCGTCAGCTTCGTTGCCACGCGGCGTGTTCTGGTTGGGCGGGACTGCTGACTGGGCTGCTGACGTGACTGCTGACGTGGCACAACTTTTTTAAATTGCGTTTTGACCTCCCAGTTTCCTATTTTCTTTTCAAAAATATCTCTAGAATCCAAAATTTTACCTCTTTTTCCTAAAATCAATTTCAATTAAATTCCAAAAATAATTTCACCCAATTTTATCATTTTTATCATTTTTATTTCTATTAAATTAAATTAAATTAAGTTAAACACATAATTATTACAAAATAAATTAACCATTAAAATAAAATTAAAAAAAAAAAAAAGATTCTAATACCCAAAAATAAAAAAATTTATTTTTGGGGTGTTACAACTCTCCCCCCTTAAAGAAATTTGGTCCCCCAAATTTACCTCTCGCTCTTGGTCGAACAAGTGGGGATACTGGGCTCTAAAATCTGATTCTAGCTCCTAGGTAGCCTCCCTTGGCGTGTGGTTCTGCCACATGACCTTTACAAATAATATTTCCCGATTGCGGAGTATCCTGTTCTTTCGGTCCGTGATACCAACTGGTACTTCTTCATAAGATAAGTTCTCTTAGAGTGGAAGCGATTCATGAGCCAAGATATGAGAGGGGTCTGGGTTGTACTTACGTAGCATGGATACGTGGAACACATTGTGGACCTTGGAGAGCTCTAGGGGCAGTGCTAGTCTGTAGGCAGCAGTACCAATCCTATCTAAGATTTTAAAAGGTCCAATAAATCGGAGGTTCAATTTTTCCCTCATGCCGAACCTACAAATTCCCTTGAAATGAGTGACCTTAAGGAACACCCGGTCGCCTTTCTCAAACGCTAGATCCCTATTTCGGGTGTCCGCATAATTTTTTTGCCTACTCTGAGTCGTCTGAATGTTCTTTCTGATTTTAACTATTTTAGACGTGGTCTCCTCTACCAATTCCGGGCCGAACAATCTTCTATCGCCCACTTTTTCCCAACAAATCGGTGATCTGCACGGGCGCCCATATAATGCCTCATATGGAGCCATGCCGATGCTTGTTTGGTAGCTGTTGTTGTAGGCAAACTCTATCAGGGGTAGATAGTCGTCCCAATGACCCCTAAAGTCAAGGACACATGCTCGGAGCATATCCTCAAGTGTACAAATTGTCCTTTTTGATTGTCCATCAGTATGAGGATGGAAAGCAGTAATGAGAGACAGCTTTGTTCCCATGGCTTGCTGAAAGCTACTCCAAAATCGAGAAGTGAACCTGGGGTCCCTGTCGGATACCACTGTTACTGGAACTCTATGCAATCTGACTATTTTTCGGATATACATTCTTACCAACTTGTCCAAGGGATCCGTCATTCTGATGGCCAAGAAGTGAGAAGATTTGGTAAGCCGGTCAACGATTACCCAGATGGCGTCATGTCCTGAACATGCCTTGGGTAATCTCGTTACGAAGTCCATGGTGATGTGTTCCCACTTCCACTCCGAAATCGGTAACGGCTGAAGTAGCCCACCTGGGCGCTGATGCTCTGCCTTGACCTGCTGACATACCAAGCACCTAGATATAAAGTCGGCTATGTCTCTCTTCATCCCATTCCACTAAAACTAGGGTCACATGTCTTGGTACATTTTGGTGCTTCCTGGATGTATGACAAACTTCGAGCTATAGGACTCTGTCATGATGTCTTTTTTTAACTCACTATCATCTGGGACACACACCCTGTCTTGGAAACGGAGTAATCCATCGGCAGAGATTCGGAATTTTGAGCTCACTCCCTGTTCTGCATCCTTCTTGCAGGCTACTAGGGCGGGGTCGACTGACTGGACTTCTCTTATTCTCTGGATTAACTCGGGCTGGACTGTCAGGCGGCCCAAACATGTGACTCTCCTCAAGTCTTGAAGTCGAACCTATAGTGTGGCCCTAATTTGCCTGCATTCTGAAACCATCAAATGAGCTAAGATACCTGTACTTTTCCTACTGAGAGTATCTGCTACCACGTTGCCTTTACCCGGATGGTACAAGATATCACAATCATAGTATTTAAGGAGTTCAATCCACCTTCTCTGATGCATGTTGAGATCCTTCTGAGTGAATATGTGTTTCAAACTCTTATGATCGGTATAGATATGAAAGGTCTCTCCATATAAGTAGTGGCGCTAGGTTTTCAAGGCGTGTATGATTGCGGCAAGCTCCAAGTCATGGGTGGGATAATTCTTCTCATGATTCTTTAACTGCCGGACCCATATGCTATGACCTTTCCATGCTGCATCAGAACACAACCCAGGCCTATATAGGAGGCATCACTATAAATTG